AAGAGCTGCTGAAAGACAGAAATAAGGGGTTTTCTGCTGGGGTCTGGAGGAGGACCCAGTTTAGCCAGAAGAGATTCTTCTGCCTGTTTCTCCCCACCCACCTAAGAACTACGACCGCTTCTGCCCTACATCCTTCAACTTGGCCTCCAACAACCTCTTGTCCTTCCAGGAGATATGCCTGCAGGGAAAGTCCTGCCTCCTCGGAGGCTTTCCTGGCTAGGCTTTCGGGGCATTAACTGTCCCTTTTGGGACATTAAACGCCACAAATCCTGAACGCACAAGTGGTAACTGCTGCTATTTTTCAAAGGCTTCTAACATGGCCAATCTGAGCAGCCTGTCATGGGAACAGCCAAGGGTACAACCCAATCCAAAGTCACCTTTCTGCACCAATGCAGTTGTAATTTTTCCTGGCCCTCTTACCAGGAGTGACCGATACAGTGCATGTCATCTTCTTTATCAGAGAGATCTCTGACTTGGGAAATTTCAGACCAAAGAGTTTAAAATTTGATAAAGGCAAAATAGCAGGAAAACAGCATGTTAGTGTGACCTTAATCCTAAATTGTCCTCACACAGCATCACCTGTAACTTCAGATTTTTAAAAACTGTATCATTTACACACCGTCAAGCAACTATGTACTGTGAAAAAAACAACACTATTCCAACACGTATTTTGCTGTCCTACACTTTATACTCAGTTTTCCATCCTGGTAGCGCACAGAATTCAGTCCAACCAAGCTTAGCATGCACACACCTTTTAGATGAAACCACCAAAACATGCTGTTCTGTGTAATGCTAAAGTATTTACAGAAAGTGCTATAGAGGGCACACTCACTGCTCCAGGCACTTGAAAGAAGGAAACAACCAAACAGTGCTGAGTACCTAAACACAAACATACCACACATTTCCAGGTTAAAGAAGGTGAAAGCTAAACATTGTTAAATACCAAATACTACTCCATGGGCAAACTGATCCTGTTCTGTTGTTACATATGATTAGTGACCACAAGATGAGAAAAGCAAAAAAAACCCAAACAACTCTGCATCTGGGATTACCAGTCTCCATACAGATCAAGAGGAGCCTTACTCATTCTCAAGGCATGCTAACTTTTAACAAGTAGAACCTGAATTCCTGCAAACTTCAGCCTCCAGGGAAGAGCTGGCATGGGTTCTCTGATGTCTAATAGGAGGGTGAGCTCACGCTAAAGCCACTCTCCATGGAGCAATAACATGGTCTCATAAACCTCTTCTCACAAAGCTCGTGGAAAAGTCGTTTCCAAGACCTGAATATTGTCATATTCTATGGAAATTAGCCAATAAATCCTAAAGTTACTACGATGACAGTGCACATGATCAACAAATCACTTCACGGAGGAACAGAGCCTTTAGACCTGGAACCATGCTGAATTTCTAAGCTTCAGAAATTTACAAGGAGCACAAAAGAACCGCATTCCTGTTAATCACCCCTAAACCGAGTAAAAAACTGCCTTGTTAAGAATCTCTGAATTGACAGGCACTGACGGAAGGTGTTGCAAATGGTGCGTTACTTCCCTAATGCCTCCCTTCTTTGTCATGACACAGCCTCTCCAAGCCATGGAAACTGCACACCACCACCACACTGAAGATGACTCCTGTGCCCTGGAAAGCCTTCACCCGGCACCGGGAGCCGTGCAGCTCTCCCCAGCCTTTACCGGGGGTGTCAGGGATCCACCGAGGCCCCCGGTGCGTGAAACCTAAAGGGCTTCAAGGTGGGGATCTCTGGGCAAGCACAGGCTGGTATCCTGACCACGGTGGTGGTGGTTCACATCGAGATACGGGGTCAGGCGCTGAGGAAGCGAGGGGACGGTAGAAAACGCTTCTCCCGAGGATCTACGCCACAACCAAGCGCCAGCGCCGAGCCTCTGTGTCTGGGAGAAGGAATTAAAACTCCTCCAGAAGAGCCCTCACAGCAAACTGACTCCACCTGCCAGGGGAGACGCCCCCCCCCCCCCCCCATCCCAAACACCACAGTTAAGGCTCCCGGGGCAGCGGGGCGCACGCCGAGAGCCGCCCTCCTCCCCCCCCCCCCCCGCCCTTCCCCGGCGGCTGCAGCCCCCAGCCGAAAATCGCAGCCCCGGCAGTCTCGGGGGGGGCAGCGGCGGGGTCCCCTCAGCGCTGGGGGCGCTGGTGAGGCGGAGGGGCCGGGGGGGGGGGGGCGGGCGCGGGGCTGCCCCGCCGCGCTGTACCTGCAGGCGGGGAGGCGGCGGCGGTCGGAGCGGCGCGATGGCCGCCGGCTCTCACCTGGGCGGAAGCGGGAAGCGGGGAGGAGGGGGAAGGCGATCGCGCCTTCACCTGAGGCGCAGGAAGCCGGCGCGGCGGGAGAGCCGCCTCCCGGGGCGAGGAGGGGGGGGGGGGGAAACGGCCGAGCGGCGACAGGCCCGCAGGTGTCGGCGGTGGAAAAGGCGCAACGGGCGGCCTGAAGGCTCAGGGAAAGGCAGAGCCCGGCCCTTGTGCTTGTGTGGGGGGGTGCGGGCTGCAGGCTGAGGCTCGGCGCTGAAGCTGGCGAAGAGGACTGGTCAGGGGGGGCTAGCGGAGGTCACTTTGTGAAGTGCCGAGCCTAAAAGCCAACTCAGTTTTCAGATGCTCCTGACCTGCCGGTGTATTTATAAATCATAGGCCTACCTGTCGTCATCACCGCCAGACTCCCCAGTGAGGGCAAAATGTGCACGTAGACACGGTAAAAAAAATTGTTTTTCACTCCTCTGCAGTGAATTGGTGTCCAAACAAATTCAGAGCTGCTTTGAACTCCCCACGAAGGTGAGGCAAGCTGTGCTTAGCCTCAGCAGCACAGCCCCTACCACTTCCACATCGAAGGGAACGGCACACATAGTGGGAGGACAGGGACTCTGATGGGGTTGTCATCCTTCCCCACAGAGCACCAAACATGATGCACATCGCCTCTCCCAGCTCTCCAAAACACACCACGTTACCTGTGCCTTCTCCAAGAGACATCATAGTGCCTGGGACGGCAATAAAAGCAAAGTTTTCCTACTGCTAGTCACAAAGTACCAAACAGGCACCAGTTTAGTTGAAGTTAACCATGGGAATTACGGGTGCTTTCTAACTCCGAAACCTGCATGTTAGTCTGCTTTCAGATTTTTTTAAAGATATATATGTACACACACATAAAATGGCCAAATGAAACTCTACAAAAATAATTTTTATTCTGCTACACTGTTTCACTAGCTGACCTGCAGCAGATCTTCCATAGCCCTGCTAGTTGCATAGGATAAGGGCTTCAAAAAGATTTGGAAATTAATTTTACCTAACTTAGGATTGGATTGATTTCCCCTCATTCTAGTGCCTGTTTTGTTTTACTAAGCAACAGCAGTTGCACTAGAGCATGCAACACGCTAAGAACATATAATTTCATCCTCCTTTTTTAAAAATTCAGATTGCAAATGCCTAACTTCCCAGTCCTTACTCTCAATTTTAATTAATGTAGCGCTTGTGAGAAGTGACAATTTTCTTGACAGTGATGAACAGCGAGTCGTGTATTTATCCATCTGAGAGATGCACTGCAGACAAAAGAGCCAAGCACTTCTCTCATCAGTGCACCTCAGTCTCGATCTTGGAGGGCTGAGTTCATTACAGAGTGCACTCTGGCCCTGGCCTTTCGCTTCCAGTTGCTGAAAACAGTATCAATTTTCATTTGCATACTTTGTCTCCTGAACTCTAGACTGCCAATTTAGTTTACACAAATCTCCCAAAAAGCTGTTAGATGGCAATATTTCACTTTACTGGCTGAGTTCTTTGTCAGCCATCCACACATTTTTAAATCCATGTTTTTACTGATTCTTTGAATATCTGGGACTGTGACAAACCTTTCATTGGTACTGAGACTCATATGTACTGAGACTTGTATATGTCACAATTAATTCACCAAAATAATGGCCAGTAAAACCAAAGGACTTCCCAGAACAGCTGGGTAATCACAACATTCTCTTCAACACTATTTTGGAGCTGCTATCAGTCTTTTTTGCTTTCCGGGTCCCTACTTGTTTTCTAGGAGATGCTTCTATGGCAGATGTAAACTTAAGACAGCAGTGATGCCTTTCCTGGGCATGTTTACCCCAAACAGTCTCTCCATCTCCTATAAATTATCCAGGATCCCCAGTAGTTCATAACTGAAAAATAACACTTTTTAAGCAAAACATTCGAAAAACTTCAAGGAAGCGAGAAAAGCCTGGTCATCACCACAAAATACCTTTCAAAACACCAACGCTGATGAAGATAAAAGCTTGAATGCTCCAGGCATTTCGTGTTCATTTTTGAAAATAAAACAAAAATCATTTTTAACAATACACCTTCACATGAAAATAGGATAACAATTTCAAGGCCCACCTGGCTGCCACCCGTGGTTCAGCAGGTGCCAGCAGGCTGCAAGAGCAACACAGGCCAACCCTTCCACCTCTCCTGGGCTTTTAAAAATCCTTCTGAAAGCACTCGGCAAACTGCAGACAACGCCAGAGACACCCACAGGTACCAACACCACCAGAGGTAAGAATTTTACCTGGTGGGCCACAGTTACGGTTTCGGTATTTGGAAGAGCAGGGAGGGTTCACCTCTCCTCCCGGGACGTGCCCTCAGCGGGCTCGGCCTGCCCACCGCTCGCTCCCAGCCAGGGTGACTCGCCTCTGCCCAGGGCCAACACGCGGGAGCAACCGCCGCTACCCGCTGCCGAGAGAAGCCGCTAAGCCCCGCCCCGCCCCACACCGCCCGGGGCCCAGAACCAAGGCGGAGCGTCTTGCGGCTGACATCTTAAGTAAGGGCAGGTGGGCGCGCCGTCCCGCCAGGTGCTGGCGGCGGGCGGGGCCATCTTGACTCAGGGCACGAGCCCGCCGGGGCTGTGCGAGCGCCATCTTGAGTAGGGGCACGCTCTGCCCTTAGCGCTGACCATTAGCTGGCTCAGGAGCCATATTTGCTTAGGTCACCACCCCCCACCTCCCCCCCCCCCAAAAAAAACACAAAAACCTAAAAATCCCCAAACCAGCCCGCTCAGCAACTCGCCGGCGCCCACCCCGTCCCTCCCCGCAGGCAGGGCGGCTTCCCCCCGCGGCGGAGGCCGCTCCTCCCCGCGGCGCGAGTCAGCTGACGGCAGCGGCCGTTTCCATCATGGCCGCCCGGCCGGGGCGGCTGCCGGCGGGGCCGGGGAGGCGGAGAGGCGCGGCGGAGGCCCGGATTCTGCTTTTCCTCTGGTTCGCGGGGGCAGCCGCGCAGGGAGCAGCGAGCACGGAGCCGCCGCTTAAGTGCGACGAGCTGAGGCTGGGGCAATATCCTGAGCGCGGCTGCGGCCGGGGCGGGTGGCGGGGGTGCGGTTGCTATGGCGATGGGGCCTGGGAGGGCGGAGGGGTCGGCCTTGTTTGCCTGATGGGGGGGCCCGCTTCCCCAGAGGTCTCGGGTGGAGGGGAAGGGGGGGAGATGAAGGGTGTGAGGTGTCTGACGGCGGGGGTGTCCCTGGGGTGCCAGAGAAAGCCTCAGGTCAGGAGCCGCGAGGGGGGTCTCAGTTGGAAGGAGCGGGCCCAGGCTTATTTTGGGGGTGACAGAGTGTGTCTAGGCTTTCAAAGAGAAAACCCCATGGGATGAAAGACCCCCTCTCCCCCAGCTCTCCACCTTATGATTTTTTGCAGGACAGTCGAGTGAGATGCGGTGGTTTTGCACAACCTTGAGTCCCGCTCCGCAGCCTGAAGGAGCAGGGTGCAGGTGTTAGACTAGCTGCAGGGCTCCTGACTCTCCAGAGGCACGTCAGGCCTTCCCCAGAAGATGTTTCTTGATGGTAGCTGACAGTTATTGATGATCAAATGTGCCAGGAAAGCGAATCTTGGAAAAGTTAACTTTATCTCCTGCTTTACTTGGCCATGGGAGTTCAGACCCCTGGAAATAAGTTCCTGCTCAGTTTTTTTCTTGTCCATATTCCTGGCATTTCACATGTTCATTTTTAGGTTTTCTCTGAATTTTGTATGTTACTGTATATTTAATCTTCCCAACCAAATGCCTCAATTTAAAGGTACTCTGATATTGAAATAAGAGAAGTCTAGATTAAGCGTGCTGTGTTGTTGCCTTCAAATACAGAGGCTGTGACTGATAAATATTGTTGTTCCTTTAGGTAGTGCTGACTGCAGCGCTAATTAAATGTGGAACTTGTGCGATACATTGGTGTATTAAATTGGATTAGCAGATTTGCTGTATGGTAATGTGCTGTTCCTATTTTGGGGGATGGGTAGGAACTGACATCAAGGTTCATCTTAAATCCTTGGGGTTTAAAGAGAGTGGAATAAATTAGTGTTAAACCTGTTGTAGTGTTTGATATGAAAAATGTTTTCCTCAATTACCTGAACATATATGTGCGATGAGCCGAAAATAGACAATAGTACACAAGAACCAATGAATTGTACAAATCACACAGCATATGGTAAGGATTTCTAATTTATAACATACATTGACAGTGACTGCATTTTCCAAGGAAGTGTTCAGTTTATGCATTTGCGTATCTGTTAGATGAGCTTTATAAAACATGGGATTAGTACTATCATTAGTATAAAAGCCTAAAACACTTGTGTGGATTGGATGCTTTACTAAAAATGAATAAATACATTGTCTCTGATTGGTACAACTGTAAGTGAGGTTTCTGGTAAATCTCTTCAATGTATGTTATAGCCTCTAGGCTCTGTCCTGCGCTACTGTGATTAAAACAAACTGTTTCTGTCATACTGATTTTGCATAGACTTATTAGAAGAATTGACACATGACAGAAAAGCCTTCAAAATCTGTTTTGAAAAAAAAAAACTTTAAGGCAACATGGTGCCTTCCATCATCAGGAGTTTTTGGTGACATGGGGCTCTGTTTTGAAAGCACTTACGTTTATTTTGATGTTAAATTCTGATGTGCTTTGAAGTATAACAGAAAAATGCTTAAATTGATCACTTGGTTTACTACATGTGTTTAGCTTTCCTGATGTTCTCAGGCATTGAATTAAATGGTCTCTCTGTTAGATAATAGCATAACAGTTTCGCTTTATGGGCACTCATGTTTAAAATACATATGTATGCTTGTTGTCTTTTATATTTTGCTTTCCGTAAACGCGGAATAATTTTCTTCACTGGGATAGTGAAAGTTGACCAAATCCTTTTTGGAGAGTAGATGAAAATACCAACCAAAATAGATCCTTTTTTAAGTTAGTCTGTCATTTACATAATCTTTGACATTGTGTCCCTGATGCTAAATGGTCAGTCAATGAGCAGAAAGAATACTACATAGTTTGAGATTGATCACAACACAGATTGTTAGTTGTCTAATCAATTACCATGGGATTGTATTTAATACACGGCGCATTTGAACAGGAGATAAGTTTAAGAACGGAGAAAGTTGCTGAATTAATCAACATGTCGTTTTCTATGTCTGTATAGCACTTTTATGCACATAGCAGTTTTTAGATTGTCCCTATGGTATTTGAGTTGCTTCCTTTTTCAGTATTACTGAAGTAATAGAAAGTTAATCTTCTGGATCATGCTTGAAGTGTTACTGTTTCTGAACATCTTTCTGGGTTCCATCACCCAAACAAATAGGGGTTTAATTCAAAGCATCCAAGTAGTCTCATTGAGAAGCAGGTTTAGAGTCTTACTGGTGTGACATTGACAAGAAAACTGTCACCGTTCCTATGTCAATTTATTTTAACTGCTGTGGATTTCTTCTAAGTGAAAGAAAACACTGCTTTCTTTGCTTAAATTTTTTAAAAGAAAGAATGTTTTTTTCTGTAATTAGATTAGGCACATTGATCAGTAGCATCCATGTAGGACTTTATAATAGCAGTTAAGTCCAGGTATAAATTACATTTTTTTTTTTCTGTTTGCAATATGGATAGAAAATTAAAAAAAAAAAAATAAATCCAAATTCTAGTCCTCTTGCCTGTGTGTATGATTGGAAAATCTGAAAATAAATGTTGAACCTGGCCTGCAGTTTTGTTGGAATTAATCAACAGGGCTCACAACTACTGAAAACAGAAAAAGTGGGTAAAGGACTGGGATTTTTCCCTTTAAAACAACGAATTTCAACATTGGAGAGTGACTAATATTCTGGTAATACACTGCAGACTTTTAGCAGATGTCACTTTCTGCTGTGATTTCCACTTTGGTTCTCTTAAGAGACTCTTAAGAGTCAAGTCTTTTAGCTTACAATAATTTAGTTGAAAGAGACCTTAGGAAGTCATATAGTCCAACCTCATACTCAGATCAGCACTGGGACTGAATTCAGACCAGGTTCCTCAAGTTTTATGCAGTCAGATCTTGAAAACCTCCAAGAATGGTGATGGCACTACCTCTCTGGGCAACTTGTTCCAATATTTGATTGTTCTCATGATTAAAATCTTTTCTGTATGTCAGATTCAGATTCCCCATTGATTCCCTATTGGAGCCAGAATGGAAATTACAGCAGAATTAGGGCAACAATTAGGCTTGTATATTTTGCTTGATATGTAGCAAGGAAAAAATACAAGTTAGTCATAGGACTGGCTTAAAAAAATATTTTTAAAGAAAAGTAGTATGCATGTGCGTACTGTGCTTTGTTTCAAGACTCTTGCACAGTACAGTAGAACTTCATTTGTTTATTTCACTTGTGTCTTGTCAGAAAAACGCTACAATACCCCATCAGTTACTGCTAAATTTAAAAGAATTTTTTTGTCCTCAGTTCAGTGTCTGCCAGCACCAAATATTACTTGTAAAGATCACCTTGGTATAGAAAAAGTCTTTACAGGACATGAAGTTGGATTTTACAAGCCCATTGCATGTCGCAATGTGTAAGTACGCTATTGTTTTTTGTAATAATTTATCTTTGTTTTCACATTGATGTTTTTCTAAAATAGTATGATGTGTTGACAGAAGAAAAAAGAGAAGTAAGGTAGAACTGTACACATGTTGCCCAGTACATAATAATCTAATAAACACTATTAGTAGTATAAGGGGACAACATGCATGTTTTTAAGTAAATCTGTCTCTGCCTTAGACACTTTTTTGTTTGTTTAGTTATGTTCGTGTCTTTGCTTTACCTTGGTATTTTACCTTTTCTTTACTTAGTACTTTAGCCTGGCAAAAAATTGCCCCAAATGCTAAGGTTACATTTCACACATGCCTAAAATCGGCACAGCTGCTGGAAAGAGCCGCCTGGGGACACTTCTCCATCCTTTCCCCTGACGTACCCCACTGTATACTGGATCAGGGAACTGATCTGGATGTGAACTAACTTGGATCAATGCCCCAATTTGAGTCACAGTACAGTCACTTCAGGTGCTTCTGCCAGCACAAGGGTGAGGACAACTCAAGGATAAAAGTGGAGAGAGGAAGGCTGGACTGGGCTGCTCTGTTCAGTGGCAGCACCGGTTCATGCCAGTTTAAAGTGTGCCTGTAGCTGCAACTTAAGTTGTAGTGTGCGTGAATATTGGGGGAGTTTGTCTCTCTTCAGTTCCCAAAAATATCTCTTTTAGAGGAACTGTTCTCTATTTTTAAACAACCTTTGTATTTAATCAAATCCTTTGTGTCTTTTAAGAGCCTGTTTCTGAAACATGAAAATGATGGACCTAGTTTTGCTAAAGCACATTGTGAGCAATGGAGAGCTCTGGATACTAATAAATGTTCCAACTGGCCAATGCTAATGATCAGTGAACACCTGTCAGTACCATTTGTTTCTCCTTTTTGTGAGATTTACTCAGGAGCCTTTTTCTTTTGTCTTACTGGAATCTTTGGAAATTAAAACTCCAGTAATATTCTCTGGGTATTCCTTATCACACTAGTGGGCAAATAACTCTGATGTGATACTTACTGCTCAATAATTTCCCTAACTCAGAAGTACAGCTCTGCCTCTTAGTTTCATAAATATTTTCTCTCTATTTAGTCTTCTGAACAGTCAAAGCTCAGCAAACTGAAGAAAACGTATTATTACATCTAATCAAATTTAAATGCTAGCAAACTAGACTTCAGTCACATTTTTGTCCAGAAACAATTGCGTTTCAGTCCCATCTGTGATGGGGACTGAGAATAAGATGAGCTATAGTAGTTCAATAAAATTGCTTCCTCTTTGGAGTAGACAGTAATTCTTACATTTGGTGTTTTTTGTATATGTATATTTTTGGTTTAATATATTTTCTAAAAACTTTTTTAAACTTTAGTTTTTCTTTATATTTATTAATTAAAAAAATCAAATCTATGTAGGCAGAAAAATGTCATCCTTTTTATGATGTCTGTTACTTGATCATGACTATTATTTGTGATTAAATAATCAATGGTTACACTATCAAAAGAACTTGCTCTGGCTTTTCCAGTCCCATGACTGTTGCTATGGCAGAAGGGGAAGAGGACCCTTTGTGGGCTGACTGAAAACTAGTAAAATACAATTGAATATAGAAAGGGTTACACAAGCATGCTCTTGATAAAGCCCCAAAGGCAGCCAAAAATGGCAGAAAGATTAATATTGCCATCCTTCATATGTACACTTGTTTAAAAAGTGGACTAATCGCTGACTGTTATATGAACCTTTTATAAGGCATTTCGAATGTTACCCGAGTGTTAGAAACATTATTTTAAACAGGAATCTCCAGTTTAAACATTACAACAATAGGCCTGCCCTTTCTACTGCTTTTTGGAGATTTTCCAGCATCTTATCTGAGTTTTGATGGAAACTGTAACTGTTTTCTAGCAGAAATAACTGCACATCATTTAACCAGAAAATTGGTTAGAGAAAGCATCTTCCCATAGCAGGATTGTCCTAGCGTGGGGACAGCAGGTTAGTCTCTATCTGTAGCTTTTGGAAAGGACAAATCAGCGAGTTGTCCTTAACCAATACTGTAATTTAGCAACAGTCCAGATAACACTTCTGGGATCCAGTTATTTTGGAGCAAGAGCAGGAGATGTTACATATTTGTGTAAGATGATGTGTTCAGTTGCCTCTAGTATTAGTTCAAAGAAAAGCTTGTACATGCTAATAAGCTTGCTCCAGCAAAGAAGTACTGGGAGTCAAGATTGCTTTGGTTTGGTGTTAATTTGATGGTTCGGAGGTAGATTTTTTGGGGCCAAAGTCTACAGTTCTTCACATTAACACTCTATCATGTAGTTTGCTTAATATGTGCAAGCCCTGATTCTGCAGACTTGAAATGTCCATTGTTCACGTATTTCCATTCCAGGCAAGGAGTCCATAAAATGGTAGTCTTTGAAATTCATGAAGTTCAGTGTGGGCAGGTGTTTGAGCAGTGCTAAGAGACCCTGAAAGAGCACAGAAGCCACTGTGAGCTATAGCAGTACCTGGTGTCAACTGGTATGGAAGAGTTGGAAGAAAAAGTTTTGAACATGGCAGCTGGCAGTATGCAGAAAAATAAATACTGGATGAGGCTGAGAAACAAGAACGAAATCAGAAGAGGAACTGAAAAGAAATTGCATCTTTTATGCAATTGTAGAAATTCCTTTAGATATCTGGGATGTGTTATTATCCTACTCACTGGTTTAGTCTTTGGCAGGTATTTTTATCTGAAAGAGTAAGTAAGATAAAGGAAATACAAGAGTGGATGCAGCCTTGTTACAATATTAAGACGCTTCAACTTCATATTAGATTTCTTCTGCCCATCAGTTTGATGTTGACTAGGCTGCAGACTATTTTGCTTGTAAAAGCATCTCAATGCATAGGAAAGTGCTCAGTTTATTACTAATTTTGATCAGGAGCATCTCAAATTAAACAGCGTTCCCACCTTTTATGCAAGAGCTCTTTTCACACTTTAGTGTCCTTGGAGGGTTGTTGACACTTTGTAGGTGATAAACAATTTCCAACATTTTACCCCAACTTTTAAATAAAACCATTAGTGTTCTTTACAATGGAAACAAGACAGTTCTAAAGAAGATAATTGACGTTGCATTAGGTTCCAGGAATGCCCAGTATGTTCTGTGTTGCTAATAAGTGCTAAGTAATGAATATTGAGGTAAGAGTTGTGATTTAATCACTTAATGTTGCCATTAAGTTTTAAAGTCAGTAAATCTAGATAATAAGCAAAAAGGTAGATCTTTCTTTGGCATTGAAAGTGCTCAATAAAGGTGCTTGGACCTTTCTCAGCTGCTGTCTTTGTGAAACTCTTATGTTTTATTCAACTGTCAACCAAGAGTTTAAATTGGGCTTATTAAATAATTGCTGGCACATAGTACTGCACATATCAAAACAGTGATTTAATGAATATTTTTAAAGTTCTAATTACATTTGGGTTTGCTTTTCTTTTCAGAAGCTTGCTGTTAGCCAATGCAGCAAAGGACGCAGCAAGTTCTAGCATTGATAGCTCTATGTTTCTAGCTTGCTTATTAGTGTAAAGTTCACATCAGCAGTGACTGAAAGTTACATACAGGTGGTTAGGTGGCCACATCACTCCAGCTGCTGGCAAGAATGGTGCCAATTAGTATAAATCTCAAAAAGTCTGTTGTATCTGTTTATTTTGTACGACTAACCATGGGGTGCTTCACTTTAGAGTACCTCTCTACTCCTCTACACGTTTTTACCACCAACAGTTCTTTTTTAATTTGTGAGTTTGTGCCATTTCCTATCTTTAAAGTGTAGTAAGTGGATATGTGACTGACCCTTTTTGTTGAATCCTTCCTGCAGCTTCTTCAGCCAGTGGCCATGGTTCATTTCTCCTTCAGATCTCATTGCAATTCCTGTCTCTGCTGACATCTCACCTGTCTATCCTGTTCCTCTCGATTTGGCTGTGTGTGAGACTAATGCCTGCAGACAGTATGCATACACCTCGTAGCTTTCTAGGGTTGTCTCAGTAGGGCTGAACTGTTAGGAAGTACTCCATGAAACTGGGAATGCATCAGCAACTGAATTATGCCTTGACAAGAAATCATGATTTAGTTTCAGAATAATCTGTATTCTGCAAGAATATACTTGAGTCGCAACAGCTGAGGTTGCTTTATGGAGGGTGCCCACCTAGTTTGAAAGCTTAACATTATCAATTCTGTGTCCGTTAATTGAAGATAAATAACAAGTCTGTTGTTTTTTTGGTGTTTTTTTTTTTGTTTGTTTTGTGTGGGTTTTTTTGTTTTGTTTTTTTTTTTTTTTTAAAAACTGAAGCAGCAGGAAAATGAGTCACTACTTTAATTCTCAAAAGTATGATGAACATATTTTGCAGTCATTGTCTACATTACTTGCTTCTTTTGGCAGAAACGGATACTCCTACAAAGTGGCAGTGGCTCTGTCCTTATTTCTTGGATGGTTGGGAGCAGATAGATTTTATCTAGGGTATCCTGCATTAGGTAAGTTTATTTCTTATTTTTTCTTCGAGGTAAAGCTTATTGTTATGACTGAGTTGTATGTGTATACTTATATTTTGAGTGATAAAGGCTGACAGTCATAGGTTTAATATTTACAACTAGAATTCTTACTTTATTGTCAAGTAAGATAAAATCCTGCATTGTCCTCAGACTGCTATTCTGCCAGTGGGTGGTGACAAATGGATATATAGTTGTCCAACAGATAAAATCCTAAAAAGCAAACATGATTATTGCTATTCATAGTTTTGCTTTGTGTTTGCTTTGCATTGATGTTTACCTCAGCATTATTTGTGAGGCACTGAAACTGAAGTGGTTTTGACTTGTGTGCCAGCTTTTTAAATGACGCTTGATTTTACCAGGAAAATAGCGGACAAACTTTACAGTAAACCTAGTGGGTTAGGATATGGAATTTAATCTGGCAAGTGCATACCTTCAAGATAGCTCATAGCATTAATAACAGGTCTGCAGAAGCTGAGACCCTTAATAAGACCTACCTCTGGTTGGTGTTTTTAGGACCTGATTCCCAGGGTGATGGTGCCACTGGCTTTTAAATAATGGAAATACCTTAGTATGTTAGAACTACTTTCACTGGCTTTGTTTCTGAGCTGGACAAATGGAGTAAATTTAAGTCTAGATAACATGGAGCAACAAATAGGAAAAAGCTGTACATGTTACTGTCACTTCAGCTAGGAATTTTGAGCTTCTGCCCATTAAATGTAAACCCTTGTTTTTTTAATAACATTACCTGTCCTTGATAATCTCATGTTAACATCTGTGTCTTTTTTTCCCTGATATTCTATAATTAGCACTTACTTTGTCCATCGGTTTCATGAAAAGATTCGTTTTTGGAAACACTCAATAAGGTGCACCTTTTTGTAAAACCATTGGATTTGGAGTAAGAATTTGCAGTAATTATTTTGTAATATATTGTAGTAATATAGATTTATAAATCCTCCATTCTTATATAGAAGATCTTTATGGCTCATGCTTGTTAACCCTACAGGAATATATTGTAGCCAGTAACCAAAGTTACAGGACTTAAAATTAGACTCTTCCAAAGTCAAGTTTTCAAGCTTTTGAAAGGTAAAGAAGACAAAAGCAAATAGGTAAGAGTAGAAGAAAAAAAGAATAAAAACCAACAGTTTGGATTCCTTGACAGTGGTTGATTGGGGATTTTTTAGGTCATTCATGCTGTGGCAAAAAATGGTTAAGGAAGGTTAATAGCATTGAAATACTTTGTGCAAGTGTAATGAAGACTGCAAATGCTCTTTGGTTTATTTTTTTTCCTTCTCTTTTGCTTAAAGAGTGCACAAATACAAACAAGCTATTGAATATGAAGAAATCAGGGAGGCAACCTCTTCTTCTCCCACACACTGTGAACTAAACCATAAGTTATTACTGCGTAAGAGCACTATTTTTTCCCTCCATGCTTTAGAGCAGCTTATTTTCTCAGTGTGATCTTCTTGTGGGGAGGGAAGTGAGGAGGAAGAAAAAAAATCAACTTTACCCTGCACTCCAGAAATATATGCCAGGTTCAGGAACAGTTCTTCTACATGCAGTGACATAATGGAGCAGCCAGTTCCTCGAGTCAGTGGAGCTGCCACTGGAACCAGCAATGGTAAGAAAACTGCTGGATTCCTAAAATGCCACCTGGTAGTGAGGGTCAGGACCGGAGCTTGAGAGGAGATGGTGTAAGGAGCATCACAAATAAATATCTTGCATGGTAACTGCACTCATTGCAGGTAATAACAAAGTAAGCTGTTCACCGGAGTTTGACATTACTTAATTATCTTAACTGTTGTTTCCTAAGGCCAGCATTTCTTTAGCTGGCTGTTTCCCTTATGTTTTGTTACTCTGCTGCCAGTACTGAGACCCAGGCTAACTGCATCTGGCTGCTGCAAGTCTCGCGTGTCAGCCACTGGGAACAAGTTGTTTTAAACAGTGATATACTTGGGGTTTTGCACATTTAAGTGGCACCACTTCAGTTGTAATACGCACATAGGCTTTTCTTCTAATCAGCTGAAAGAGCGTCCTGCTAATACTCCTTCATCTTCTTGGTCATTAGTTTTTTTTCCCCTGTTCTCTCTGACTACTGTGTTGTTCCACAGAGAGATTATAAACTGTCTCCCTGGAGTTTATAAATCAGGCTAGGTTCATCTTGTCAACTGTGGGAGCTATATCCAGACAGTGGATGCTCTTCCTGCAGCAGTTCCTCCCCCGCTCTCCTCCATATGCAGCCTCCTAAACAGGGCACGGGGGAGAGGAGGTGGCACGGGGGGACAGATTGCTGCTTCGGAGCGATGGGGGAGCGCGGAGGAGGTCGGGAGACCTTCGGGTGTTGGAGCGAGGGCGGGCTCGGCCCGTGGGGGTCAGGAGCAGGTGTGGGGCGGCAGGGCACGGCTCCTGGCTGTGGGGACACCGCGCCGGCTGGCCTTGCCTCACAAGCGTGCCAGCCCCTGGAAGCACAGGAAGGATGTGCTTTTTAGCAGGGAACTGCCTTTTCCCTGTACAGCATAGCCTGCAGCTGACTTCAATGCAACAGATACGCATTCCCCTTCATACTGCCTGTGCCTGGGTAAAGAGATAAACGGCTTCACAATGAGTATCTCATTCTCAAAATAACCTAGATGTTTGCCTAGCTCAGCTGAAGTATTACTTACAGTCTTTATAGTACTCATTGTATTATATTAATTATACAAGAAACTACTGATGTTAAAAAAATTTAAAAATTTTGAAACAGCTACCTCCTGAAGGCATTTTCCAAATGAGATCTGCCTTGCATGGCAACTTCCAGTGCAACATTTATCTGTTAGTTGCCATATATTTTCTATTAATCTTTCATTTATTCATACCAAAAAAATAACGTTTTTGAATACTGGTTAAAAAGAAGTGTTTAAATAGAAGTGTATGTGTGTGTGTATATATATATATATATATATATAAAATCCTATTTTAGCAAAAATATAAAAATGATACAAAGGATTGTTCTCCAAAGAATCATGTTCTGAAAATCAAATCAGTATGTGCTACAACTCATGAGATGGTAGAAAGTCGCTTTCTATTCATAAGTAAATTTTGCGGCTCAAGTTCTTCTGTCTGTGCCTCAGTCAAAGAAAGGAAAATTTCCAGTAACTTGGTTATTAAGTTTTGCCTTGTTTAAGAATATTTCTCTGTTAAAAATAAAATGTTGATGTTTAAGATCCTTAAAGTGTATTCAGGATATAGAAATACATGGTTTCATTGTTTTCCCTGATAATTAAAGATCTTTAACTTAGGTCTGTTTCTCTGTGTGTGTATATGCATATATATATATATAAAAAATATCGGTTTCCCAGCGCCGGGATGGGGAGAGAGTTAGGATGTGATTGCCACCAGAAGGCTACAGTTAAATTTCATTTTCCTTTTTTAGGTTTGTTAAAGTTCTGCACTGTAGGATTTTGTGGAATTGGTAGCCTAATTGATTTCATACTTATTTCAATGCAGGTAAGTCAGGGCTTTCAAAACAAGATGCGAATCTGCAATTGTTAAAGCTTTGATTTGATTGCTAATTCCTTGTTAGCATTTGAGCCTTGAGAACCTTTGTGTATTGAAAAATAAAGGCATTTATTTTAGCTCTGTAGATTGATGTTGTAGAATATGGATACAAAATATCAATATATTTGTTGTTTGAATTAAAAATTATATTAGCTATCATCTGTAAATACTCGTAATGAATATCTTGGAAGCTACATCACCATAAATTCACTTGGTCAGAAGCTATGAGCTCTTTATGTGACACACAGTGTTGGACTTTGCAGAGATAACCTGCTGTTCCTAGAATCCTGGAGTTCTTCTGCGTTTGCATGTGCTTTGTACTGATGGCGCCCATCATCTGGGGTGTCCGTGCAGTGTGCAGGAAAGATGCCACTGCCACTTGGTTTTTTTCTGCCTGTCCTCCAAATACAATTCCTTTATCACCTGAGCTGTGACTGTAGGATTCATGGTGGTTAAATCCCCAGATGGGGTGGCATCTTGTGACATCATGAAATTGCCAAGTTGTCTTATTCTACAGTGCATCCATTTAGCGTGAACTGCAAATTGCCTATGATGAACTTAAAATGCATTGTGGATATAGGAATTGTTTACAGAAAAATATTTTAAAATTATGCATCTTTAGATATACATATTCTAAATTATATGCATTCTCAAATTTCTTCCTATGCTATTGCAGTGATCTTGCCTCAGATCACTTACAGATACAGTTGAGAGTATCTTTCATCTCTTCTTATTCCTCTCACTGGTGACCCCATGTCAATTTAGCATTCCGAGAACAAATAAGCCATGATCTTCTCTCCTTTTCTCTGTTCCTTACCTGTGCAGTATTTCAAAGATACTTGTCATCAGCCTAATTCTCTCCTGCCTACCTTCCTTTGTTCAAGAAAAGTGGTTTGGAGCCCACTCATTTGTTAGCCTGATTTTGTGACTCAAATCCTCATCAGCTTAACCTAGTACCAGCGCCTGGCTGTGTAATTTGGTTGATTAGAAGCCCTAGGGAAATGTTCCTTCTGAGACAGTGCTTGCTAAAATAGTTAAACTACAGTATAACTTCAAAATAAATCTAGTTTCTGTTTGACTAATTAAGCATGACTAATTTTATGATGGGAAAATTAGCAGTAATTGAGACATTATCACAAAGTATATATTTCACTTTATATTGGAAAGTCTTGCTTTTTTTTCTCTTGTAGATCGTTGGACCTTCCGATGGCTCTAGTTACATTATAGATTACTATGGAGCAAGGCTTACACGGCTCACTATTACCAATGCAACGTTCAGGAAAATGCAGACCTATCCTTAACCCTGGCAGTAAGTGTCACAAATACATAGGTGCATTTTCTTTTTACAGATGGATCCAGTCATTCACTTTTTGTGGAAATTACTGATGACTTATTCAGTTCTGATGAAGTGTAATTAATATTAAATATACATTGAACAAAGATGATAAAATATGAAAATTCCTGAAGTGAATGAGTTTATCTCAAAGGCACCAAGTTTCTTTGGGACTGTTTTGTTTCTGTGAGCACATAGTTTGTTGCTAAGTTGTGCATTTGTGAAATATGCAAGCTTTTGCAATTTCCCCTGATGTTGTTCTGTGTCTGTAAGTATAATTTAGACTGTTATAGAGGGGTGGTGAAAGAGTTGTTCAGAACAACTATGTTGATCTTTAGTCCGTTGAAACTGATGAGAGTTTTGGGTGGATGGGCCAGGATTACACTTGGAGTCTGTTTTCATAACTATGTGTGGCAGTTTGTAAATTAATTTAAGTAATCCAAACCACAGAAACTGCCTGCCTTTCCATCCTGTTAAAATCCAGATGGCTCTAAATCTTGTGCTGGTGTATCCTGTGAAATTCTATTAATTGAAATAGTTATTTCTGTAAAGCTTAAAGACAAATTTTGGCCAGGTTGCAAAATTTGGTCAGTGCCAATCAGCAGTAGAAATATAGATGCATAAAAACCAGAACCATAGATGACACATCACAAAAAAGGAGGGTGGATGTTGGGGTGCCCTGAGGTTAGAATAGGAAATAATTGTTCTGCTTATTTTATTTTTTCCCTCCCTTGCAACCATCCATAGTGAAATACATACCTTCTTTTTCTGAAAAGAAATGGGTTTATGTGTTTTACAGCTACAGAATGTCAAAAAAAGTGAATTCTTTGTAGCAATAAAGCCCTTAAAAGGTTCTTATTTTAGATCAGTTGTGTTTCAGTGAAATAAATTCTGTGTCCCTCAAAGTTGTTTGACCAAAAAATCTTTAGGACAACCAAGATTTAAGTAAACTTTCCTTTAAAGAAAAGTATATATACAGAGAGGCAGAAAACACATCAACAGAATCTTGATGTTATTTGACCAATTTTAAACATTCCCTTCACCTTCTAATGAAAACCGGCAGTAACTGAGTGAGAAATCAACGTGATACAAACTTTAGTGTAGATTTTTTTCAGAAATTTGGGCTCTTCTTTTGTTTTTCAGATGAAACTTTCAAAATGTTATTAATGTGTCCACAAATGGTATTTTTAAGGGTATTACAAAAAAATGAGATTCCTAAATTGATTTTTAAAAGTGCAATTTGTGGTGTTTAGTCTCTTTTAAACCTACATTAAGACTACTGCACAGAAAGCTTTGTAAAGAAATTGTGTTTTTTTCCAAGTCAGCGTAACCTGACATAACACGTAAGGAGAAAAAGCCACAAGGAGTACTTTGTGCTTAAGATTAATTCTTTCCTTCACTCAGGAAACACATAGTTTTGGAATACTTGCTAACATGCATTTTACTTGTGGGTTCAAAGAGACAAGAACACTCTGTTAGCTTCATTCGCTTGCCTGGTATTTGTTGCATCTCCGTTTGTCTCTCTTTCACTGAATGCTCTTTGTGCATGTCAGTTTTGTTTCCCGATATACTCTCAAAAACAGACAGGAAGTGGACAGAAAATAAATGTTTGAATCAAATAAAATCTCATGGCTAAGATCATCCTGTGACTTGTCTGCTCTTTGTTTTTTAACCCTGAAGCTGACAACATAGCTGTGAAGATAAGATACAGTGGACATTATAATGAAAAAATAGCCTTGGGCAACTCATCACACAAGATTTCATTCTAAAATGTATCTCCATGTGTACAAGTAGCAGAGGGCTTGACTTAATGATTTCAGCAGTCTATCTTGTGCTTCATAAAAGACTACGGGAGCTATTTTCTGTGAATCGGATGAAAATATGATTAGTTAGGAGGTCCATCAGGTAGTTTGTTAATCCCAGAAAACAAATAGCCAGCAGAGAGAAAGATCTGTTATTCCAAGTCGCAGTGTTTCTGTAGAAAGAGAAGATGTGTGTCAACCAACCTAGGAAATAAAAACTGCTGTGGGATTCTTTCATCCTGACGCTCTCCGGTTTGCGATACCCGTGGACGCTCTTGTCAGGACTGCACTGCTTTGTCAGAGCAGTCGGAATGAAGCCACGGGTCACCAGACAGAGCAATAGTTTGAGCCTTAGCATAGTTTTATTTCTCTTCCCTTTAGATGCTATTCCACTTGATCCACTTAATCTTGTACTAACAACTTTCCACTTCTTTTACAACCCTTTCCTTTGTCTGTAAAGCCTTTTAGAAATCAGTGCCACAGATCACATAACCTTTGGAATTTGTATTGGATATGGTTGGAATTATGGTTTATATCTAAACACACATATCTGTGTTTCTATATGCTTTTTTAGTTGCCTATCTGAAGTTTGGAGAGGGTTAACTGAGTAAGCAGATAGTACTGCAGGGCCAGTAGAGAGTTAGTGAGGTCTTTGTTTTCATCTTGTAATTGTCAGATATGGCACGTTTACCATAAGGGCTGTGAAAAGTGTGATGTGAGATGTAAAGCTGTCCCACTGTGTTAATAATAAATTTGCTACAGTAATATTTATCAAAATGTCTGTCCTATGATGATTTTCTATGTTGCCGCCTGCTTTAGCCTTCTCCTGTCAATCAAGTTGTCCATCCCAGTGTTTCTGTAGTTCCGATTGCTCCGACTGCACTGGAATAATCTTGTGTCTGGATTGTTTTCTCAAACAGTTTCAAAGCAATAAAAATAATTAGGCAGTGTACTATGGCATCCTCCTGCCTCATTCCCAGATAAAATGATATCTGCTGGCCTTGCAGATACTCAGGAATCCTTTCAGCATTCCAACAAGACAGAGAAGTATTATTCTCTATCTGTAAAAATAAAGAACATAAAAAGTAAAGGCCAGAGTTTAAAAACAGAGTTTGAAGTGCCTAGCCTTTAAAAAACCTGTATGAAGCTATTCACTTGAAGATGCTGCTGATCCGTGCCAGGAGTTAAATCCAAATCTTCCCTAAGTACCAGTGCAGTTCAGTCCTTGCAAAAATGACTCCATAAACCTGTCCTTTTTTTTTTTTTTCCTTTAATGTCAACTTTTGGATTTTCTGCAGTGTGCTTAACCATGATCTGAAAGAGCAGTAGCTGGTAGAAACATTCAGCTTTGGGCACTTTGCTTTCGCTCACACAGTGCAAAACCGGTTGTAGTTAGGCATGAACACCGTATTAATAAATTACTCTGAGTTGTATTTGTTCAGTTAGGTCAACCTGTGCATCTTTCACTTGTGTTCAGAGCTCGTCTTCCAAAAGGGCAGATCTAGAGATACTTTAGAACAAACTCTGACTAGTTATTCCTCCTGCAATTTAAATCACAACTATGCTACGGCAACTTCCTGTGACAGCATTTTGTTATCCTAACTGTTTCCCCCTCCACCACCACCCACCACTTATTACATGAAGATATCACTTCTGCTTTCAGGACCTGATAACACCTTAAATGTTAGGTTTTATTATGTTTCCAAAGACGTATTACTGTACGTCTGCCAGTAAAACTTCTCAGCTCCACAGGAAGGTCTTTGTGTTTGAAATGCTCTGTTAGAATTTTTTTGGAGAACATCTGTTGTCACCCCATCAAAAATTGTTTCCTTTGTTCCTCAAGAGTATATTCAGTTATATTTGCTTACACAGCTATGTCTATTCAGTCTTTTCGCATCTCTTCTCGGTGTTGGTGTTTTTTTTTATTTTTAGATTCATTAGGTGTTTAGTCCGTTTCTGCACTGAGAACCGTTCCTGTTGCTTGCTCTGCAGTTTTCAAACCTGTTTCCTCCAGAAAATTATGTTGAATACAATAAGGTTGGGTGCTTAAGCACCCAGTTGGGGAAATGCCAAAGGCAAGATTTTGCAAGCACCCATACGTTTCCATTGCCTCATAGGACTGTCACTAATTGTGTGATTGCCTATTGTTTCACTAATACGTCATAGAGTCTTTCAAACTCAAGTGTCATCTCATCCCTAACTACTTTACCATTTTCATTATTATAAATGGTCACTATATGGCTTCTTTAAAAAAATGCATCATTTTAATTCATTTAAATCATGCTTTTTAACCAACTACTATGTTCTGGGTTCAGCCTGCGTCAGTCTGCCAGGAGGTGAAATACAAGAGATTATTCTGCTTGCATCTTCTCCTTGAATCTGAGGAGAAAAAATAGCTTAACTTTAGGCATATGCTTAAGTGTTTTGCTAGACTGAAATTTGATCAAGACTCTTCCCACTTTCTTCCTCTCAATCCATCTGTGTTACCCAGAGAACCTTTCTAATCTCTGTGAATTATAAGAGAAGATTGCATTCTGCATGGGAACCTTAGCACTGACAGTGTAAATGGCTCCATGACAATCCTGTGTGTTGCAACTTCTTTTTTTCACCTCAGAGCTGCATTTCTTTGACTTTTGTTCATGTATCAGCTGTTTGTTCATGTATCAGCTACCTTTGGACATCCTGCCACAAGTTCTCAAGTACCTCTAGGAGGAATTGGACACTTCTGAGCTGAATCAAGTATGTAGAAATGCCACGGCATCAGATCAGAGAATCTTATATATATGTGAAGCAAAGACACATTGGGGAGCAGTAGATGTCAATAAGAGGAGGTCGTAGGCTTCAGTTTCTGCAGGAAGTTATGTCTGAAACTTAAAACCATGTTGTCTCTTTGCCTTCTGCTTCCTGAAGGTGGAGCCAAACCCCCTATCAGATCTCCAAATCTTCTGAAGTTGTGCCTTATCGTACAGCAAAGATTTAGCACTCCAGTATTTTTCCTTGCACAGCAGAGAAAACTGGAAAGTGGATGTGAAGATTCTGTCTGGCCAAGACACATTTTGCACTATGCTCACTCTCTAGACCTAAGACCGTAGCAAAGGAAAATAACTGAAATGTAAGAACAAAAAGGACAGTCTCAATGCTGTTTGCACCATGTGTGATGAAGATCTAGTTCCACAAACTCCCAACAAAATAAAGTGTTTAAAAAATACTGCCTGTCTCAAATACAAACTCCTTGCTTTTCCCAGGATTTCTGATTCTTACTCTTTGTGCTTCATTATAATCTTGAATATACTCATGCTGCGATAATTCTCCATTATGCGTTTGAATGGCTGCTTTCAAGACTGCAGTGCTCTCTCTGAGAAGCACAGTCCTCAGGCTCTGCAGATGCATATGACACAGCAGAATTTTAGGCAGTATAAAAATTATAAAGATCAGTTTCCATTACAGTAATTACTATATAAATCCTATCTTTAAGAGGCTTAGAACAGGCCTATTTAACCTTGGTTTGAGCTGAGGCTTGGTCCAAGTCTGATAAGTTGAACACCAAATTATTTTTCTTTTTTTTTTTTTTTCTTCTCTCTGCAGCATCGTAACTTAGTGGGGAGTGGGGCAGGGAGGGAGAAGGGATCCAGCGCATCCTCCGCACTCTGTCTCTGACAGGGTGGTGGCTGTGATCGGGCAATATACCTGTCCCTGAGCAACAGCAAGGCTAAATGAGCTGTACGTTTTGTTACATCTGAAAAGCACCACTTCTCCCCTTGGAACCTGTGGCTGTTTCTCTTACGCAGCTGTACTGCAGAGCAGGTGTGTGAGGCGGCTCGGAGGCAGGCGACCCACAGAGAGCAACTAGAAGCGCTTGAGTAAACCGTCAGATCCTACGCTCTTTGGAGGGCTGTAGCAGTAATTCCCATCTTTTATGTCATTTGCACCACCTCGATGAAAGCGAAGGTGTTGGCTGCCCTTCGGGTAGCTGAGGTGCCTGGAGCTGCCTCCAGCTGCCTTTCAGGTCCAAGCGTTCAAAGCTGAGAAAGAAGTTGGCAGCACCAAATGCAGAGGTTGGGGATATCCTGCTCCGTTGCTTGAACATGCCAGACTCTTAGCTGTAGGCCAGAGAGCAGCTTTGATATGGATAGCCATTACTTGCTCAAAAGAAAGTCTGGCACAGCATTTTCCACGTCATGAACTTGTTCTGCGGTGGGTGCTTTGCCCCCTAGTCAGTAGAGCTGTAGGAATGAATTTATTAAAGTATGCTGTTTCCTTTGCACAGAGTCTTCTTCAAAGTTCCTTGGATTTACCGTGGGGAAAACATGGCAAGAACATGTAAGAGGAGATCACTGCCGGCGAAGAACTGACTGAGTGTTCACCTTGAGCCTGACGAGACTGCCCACTGTATGGATTGTGTTGGCAGAAGCCTGGGGAATGCAGAGGTGGGGGGTAAATTTTAGGGCTTTCATTCCATGGTCCCATTGATTATAACCCTATTAAGAGGATGATGCATGTGACTTTTAAGTTATTTTGTTAACTAAGTGTAAGCAATGGATGTGTCATGCTAACAAACATAATTGCTGGTGTGTCTAATACAGTATGTAAGTACAGTATAGTGAATTTAAAAGGTTGTGGTAATCTAAGAATGTTAAAAGGGAAACGTGTGCCTGGGGGGGTGTGGGGGTTGGGGAGAAAAACGACTTACTTGACATTCACTGTCTTCCTCCCAGCTCCTTTGCTAAAGTAGGAACAGAATCGGAACAAAAAAATGTTTGTTTTACAGCTGTACCAAGTTACGGCGTGGACTCGTGCTCCCCCCCTCCTCTCCCACTTGCATCAAGTACATCCTGTACTTTTGGCAACATGTTGACTGGATATTTAAAAGCTGTGAACTGTTCTGAAAGTTTCACATACTGGGTTATGGGCCATGTGTGTTTGATCAAAATTCAATTACTGCACTGTACCATGCTTGGAAACCTATCATCCCAAGTTATGAAGTATGACGAAATAGGCTAATCTAATTGGTTCAGTATGGGAGCAGTATCAACCAAGCTTGTTATGATAAATAGCTTCCTGTGTTAAAGGTTCTCTAGAGCTTAAGTATCTTGGCTCACCTCCCTCTACAAAATAAGAATAGTGTTCCCTGGGAACAGTTACATCACTGTCCCTCTCCTACATTCACAATTAAAGGTTTGTGGATTTTTTTTCATCTTGCTATTCCTTGAACAGATAAACCACAGCCATCTACCCTGTTCCCCACTTCCATCTCCTTCCCCTTTCCTCAGGCTGGGTTGTGTTGTGCTCACCGTGAGTCTGCCTGTTCTGTGTCAGGGCTAGGGAAGGCAAGCTTAACCAGGATGCCAAAACCCACCCTGGGCTGGAGGCTGGGGTTTGTGTGCTGGTGTGTCAGTACATATGACATGTCTGTTTGTATAAAGATTTGGAATTTTTGATGTTAAGTTAAACATGGAAGCACTTTAATCTTTCTAAGCATCTAATAAAAGAACTTTTGTATAGTGAATGTCATACCTATGGATGTGCTATTATCTTCTCAGAAGTGGAATTTTAGTTCATCAGTATTAAAATGCAAATCCAGTGTGCAGGTGCTGGATTATGACTAGGGAAGGACTATGTCCTAAGCCTGGATTTGTAGTCACTAAATTTGTCACTAAGACCGTGAGCTGTCTCCCATGAGATGATACTGGCTTCATGATTTTATCTGGTCCATCTTTGGCAAGAAGTACTTAGCTCGGATTTTGATGTCACAGTAATAGACAGTGTCAAGGGGGGAAAAAAAAAAAAAAACAAAACAAAACAACAAAAAAAAACATGGAAAAGGGACTCCTTACGCTCTGGCGATTCAATCTTTTCCTTTCTTGAACCACACCCCCACATGCCTCCTAACTCAGAAGACGCCTTCAGGCAAAATAATTGTTTGATGATCATTTTACAAAGACATAACGTAGGCCTGATACTGCAAGGGCCTTTGGTGAAATTTCTTCCAAGAATAAAGTTATTCACTTACTTAAGGGCTGGTAGAATGAGTCCTTACGTAAGTAAGTCTTCATATTAGCCCCAAGACTGCCTAATACCTGGATTAAGTCTGTATGGTGATTAATGCCTATTTACTATATCTGTTATCCCCTTGCATTTTGCTCTTCAGCCTTGATTAAGCCCTTTGCTTTACCATTTAAAATGTCCTGCTTAACCTTCTGCTTACAAATGTACACAATGCTGAGGTCTGCATTTTTAACTAGAACAAGTTCTACCATAAATAATAGCATTTAATTTTAAAGTGCAACAGCTACAGTCACCACTTGATTAAATGACAAAGAACAGCCATAGCAAACTGGGGGACGTAGAGTTTTTTGCAACAAACGTCTACGTCCGCGTAAGAGAAAAAAATATACCTTCCTGCTGCTGATTAGCACTTTCTGTGCAGTTCTTTATTTTACATGTTTATAGAAAAATATTACCAAAAGAGCCTAAACAGTGACTCTCCATGATTTCCCCAAATATCTTTGAAGGAGATAAACTAGATTAATCTCTCTTTATAAAGTTCCCACAAGAAAGCTCACAGACACAGTAGCTTTACCTTCAAAAATAGAATGTGACTGTAGGCACTTATGCTAATCTCTTTTTTGGCAAATCAGCTTTTTTGTATTGAATCTTGCTTGATTGAATAGCACTGGAGCTGCCAGAGTAAATGCTATTATCAATGTACAGTAATTAAGGAAATAGTCCTTGTCACTCCAACAGTGTCCAGGCAGTGCCTCTGTAATAAAGTTAAATGATAAAGAAATCTCTTCAAGGTGTAGATACTGGAGCAGGGGAGCTCTTGACATGCGGTAAAATAATGCAGTGTAGAATTACAGGTGACAGGGAAAAGTATAAATGCCCGTGGAATTCATGCTAAATGCGTGTTTGATGCTCGATGTCTAAATAGACGCTCAGCACTAAAACACATAATCGTTTAATTTGTCATGTAATTTCCTGACTCAGGGCAGTTGAGCATCTCCCAGTCTCCACCCTTAAAAAATGTGTGTGAGGGAGAGGAGCGGGGGGAGACCCTTCCATCATTCAGCAACTTCAAAGATCTTTTCCCCCTTCAGGCAGCAGCCTGCACAAATGATAAACCTTGCTTTAAGATCGGCAGAGTCGGGCTCTGCCAAATCCATTTGGGGAGAGAATTTCAGTAAAAAGGACTTGTCATTCCTTCCCCCGCCCTTCCGTTTCACTTGAAACTTTACAGCCTAGCAGTGCTTCAGTGGATCGCAATCGTTCCTGCAGCACCCGAAGAGAGAGATTCCCCGAGGAGAGAGAGAGAGAGAAAAACCTTTGGACATCTTCTGTGTTATAACCTTATCGCATGCACCAAGAAATGTGAACTGTAGTGAAGGAGGGTAATTCTCAGATACCAGAAATGCCACTTAATAAGCAGAGCACCCTGCTCTGTGCTGCCGGAGTTTTCTCAGTGCTTCTCAGCTGCAGCCCCACGTAGAGATCATTGCAGCGAACTGCTCTGGCCCAAGACATGCTGAGGTCTGCATTTGATAGCAAAGATCTTTTTGTCCAACGAAGGTACATGCGGAAGATATGTTGTTTAATGGGCAATAAATAACAAGGGAAGGTATTTAATCAAGTGTGCCGGGAAATTACTGCTCACGTAAAAATGCACACATTTCAAAAGGTACAGCTCGGGAAGTGAAGGCTCCAGGGGATGTAGGGGAAAGGCGAAAGAGTCCACGGTGAGGCTGCTGAATTTCATCCCACCGCTTGTAAGACACGCAGAAGGATTCTGGCCCCTATACTGCTTTACCCCAGCAGCCTATGTCTTATCTAAAGTCTGTACAAAAATGTTCATCTTTCATAAATCTGGCAGTTCTGCTTGGGCATACGTTACTGAGGATTTTAACATTCCCTGTAACACTCCGTTTTAATGCATTGACATTCTGAAAGCTGGGCATCATAACCTCTCCATTAAATCTTTGACACAATGAAGTGTCTTCTAAATAAAATAAATCAGAAGGATCGATCCAGTGAACTTCAGGGTGCACCTTTTCAATTATTTTTTAAAGATGGAAGTGTTTTGTGCATATTGAGCGCCAGATTTGTGGGACTGGGAGGGAGGGGAGTCACGTCTGGAGCGCGGACCTGAGCGTTCCGAAACGCTCGGAGGCGAGCGAGCACGCGAGCCGTTCCCGTGCTTCCAGCATGACTCTGAACTTGGCTTTGCTGGATCCGGGCCTCTTTTCTGTTGCATGTAAAGCATTAATGTTCTACATATTGTTCCAAAGGATTTTTTTTTTTTTAAACATACCCCTAGCTCGACCTTCAGAACTGTCCGCTTGAATCTGAGCAGAAGTGCTCTGGTCAGAATTAAAAAAAAATTATAGCCCAGGCAGCGAGTTTTTTAATTGAGGCATGCCAAATACCAAAGGCAGATGCTTTTTCATTCTGTAGCTCCTGGATACGCGGTCTACTTTTCGGTTTCAAGGACAAAGGAAACACTTATCCAATTAGATGAGGCATGAGATTGTGACATACGGGCTCTTTCCTTAAATAAAAAAATGTTGGAAAAAGATATTTGACCCTAAGTCAGTAAGTGCTATTAAAATAATGAATACTCCATAAATCCAGCCATATATACAGCCCATGTTCAGAGCCGCACTGTTTTTGTCACCAAGAAGGCAGTGAAACCGCCCAGGATAAAGCCCCACACAACTCACTTGTCCAAATCGCATTCTGAAGGCCTTACTTTTAAAACAGGATATACAAAAGTGTAAGCCAATTAAACTGCGAGGCAGACTTCTGCTATCTTCTCCCATTTGACATCTCTATCGAGTCAGCTCCGATGGTATCAAACACGATCTGGCTGTCAGAACAGCTGAATTTCCCCCGCGCGCCCAGCAAAGATGAGGGAATCTCTTGCTCCTCTTGCAAGGCTTGTAGGAGCCGTTTTTTTAATAGGCATGTGGCTCGCCCAAGGTAATGTGGCTTTTGTCTGCTATCGGGAGGAAACGGTTAATGCTTTATACACGTTGCACCTGAATCTTAAGCATCCTAGAAGCACACTTGAATTTCTGCACGAGGAGCAGCACGCATCTTTGTCGGAAGCTGGAAGCGCCGGGGTCTGCGTCGTCTCACACCCTGTATCTGGAGATGGGGGCCATAGTTAAACTTCAAAATAATTACAGCTCTTCTGTTGCCAGCCTCAGAGCCGTGATGTGTTTACTTTAGTGTTAACAGTTTACCAGGCAGCTGGAACTGTTGACTGATAATTGCTGCGAGTTTCTGATGCTCCAGAAGAGTGAAGAGCCTCCTCCGTCCTCCGCCTATTGTTCGTACAGTTTGCTTTGCCGAAATGATTGAAATTAGTGTTATCGGCACTGCACGGAGGACTCGAGTCTCAGGTGCTGGGAATTAACGTGGCCTGTTTAATTACATCAGTTTGCAGTCTGATCTGCTATCTGTCCTGTTTCACGTAGTGTTGCTTAAAGCGAAATTGCAGTCTCTCGTCAAACTGGGTGTGGGGCTGAGTGATACTGGAACAAATGGAAGTGACTGGAAAAATTGCTCTTGTGCTCCCAGCCAGGTCCAGCTGCCGTTTGGATTTCTCTCCACCTCGGCGGCTGTCTCCGGACCCGTGCAGCGTTCATCCTGCCACGCGCTATTGCGCAGTCATTAGCGATGTGCGACTCCCAAGCCACGGTGTGTTCCTGCTGACCCGTCGGCATGCTTGGAGCCCCACTTGGTGATTCTGGCCAAGAAGCAGCACTCCTTGAACCCTTCCCAGCCCCCAGCTGCAGCGCAGATCGGCCTGGAAGCTGCATCTGTGCCCGTTGGCAGGGTCCCAGCGAAGGCCTCACCGAAAGCACCGATGGAACCCCCCCCCCCCCCCGCCCCGGAGAACGGGGGGCAGCAGGAAGGAGCCTTCACGGGGCTCCAGGAGATGCGGATGGAGTGATGATGCTTCCCACCTCGTCCGCAGGAGCAGCAGCGTGTCGGAGCGTATGACGGGCCCGCTACATCCCAACGTGGGGAGCAACACGGGGGGCTGCCGCCCCTCCTGCCGCCCCTGGAGCCGGTAGCTGCCGAACCGCCGCTGAGCCTCCCCTGGGCCCCTCTGCCCCGAACCCCAAAGGTCGTTGCAACAAGCGCTGCCCATGGCGACCCTGGGAGCTGAGATCAGTGGCGTGGCTTGACTTTAGGCTCTACTGCCTTGGGCCAGCTCAGCACTCTCGCCGACGAGCTAAAACCTCGTGTAATCACATTACTATTGCTCCCATTGCTTTTAAGAGAGCTTTTACAGAACTATTTATTTCTGCAGTTTGCACGTCCATAAAAACCGCCCGGAATACAGCGAGGTGAGGAAGAAACACCATGAATTTTCATCACATTGGTATTTCTGGCACAATTTACATCGTGACTATGTCCCTGATGAGGAGGAGCAATAAATACCCTCTGCAAAGCTCATATTGCGATGGATGGGAGAGGAAACAGCAACCCGAAGGGTGTCACATTCTGGAAACCTGACCTGGAAAGAAGGATCTACAATTAACAAGATGGGTAAGGGAGTCTCTGGGTCTTAGCAAAGCCCTTTGATTATCATAAAAAGAAAGCGGGTGCCAAACAGTTTGAAAGCATCCCTCTTATTATCGATGATTTTTCTGTTGATAGGAGGAATTCAAAAGGGTGTTATTAGCATTCTGTGCAGAGAGGGAGCAGATCTATAGCATGGATCTCAATAAATACGTTGCTGCAGTAAACTTCTTTAGCACTTTGCAATTCACATCTGATCTCTGCTGACCTTTTTTTTTTCTCCTAATTAAACCTTTAGCTTGCAAATGAGCCATTTCCTACATCAAACCGGTGTATGGCAAAGGAGGAAATTCTACCCGCGATTTATAGGAGTTGCTGGTGACCTGTCTGTCTATCACAACCTGTTCTAATTGATCTCTCTTTGAATTAAATTTGACCAATTACTTTCTCCTAGGTGAACAAAGATGAGACTGTCCTTAAAAGCTATTGCAGCAACAGCAGCGAACAAAGCCAGTTGTACATAGTGGATGGAAGGTCCCGATCCATTTTGTGCACGTAGTGAGAAAGATGAAGGCCAACTGCCTCCAACACCCAAAACCTCTGGTTAGTCCAGCCAGGCATTGTCCCAGCGCGGTGTTTGTTTGAAGAAACTGGTTTTGAAGGGATGTGCGTGGGGGTGGCTTAGACTGCTGCTCTTGCAAGCTCCTCCACGCAGAGGGAAAGCAAGCCTGCCGTCACTCCCACCCAGGTTTTGGAGCTGGATGACCAAGCCAACTTCTTCCAGGTTGCTCATGCCCACGGTCCTCTTCCAGCACAGCCTTTAAAGTCCCTTTCTAGTGTAGCATCCAAGAACAAGTCCCCCCAAATCGTGAATCAGCTGTGCCTCCACTGCTCTGTCTCATCACGAGGACTTAGAAAGGGAATGAAATAACTGAGATGGGCGTAACAACATGATACTGAACTGCTGACCTCAAGAGCTCAAACGTATTCCTGGCTGCACTATGTAGTGCTTCGTGTGTCGGGACGAATCCCTTACCCTTCCCTGTAGCTGAACCACGGGAGTTTGGCTGGGACAGTGTCCTGGGGCAGCGGGGAAGGACTCTTGGCTCGACCAAACAGCAAGAAGCCAGAGCTGCACCAGCCAGCAGCAATACAAAGGGAGTTAAATCAGTCTGGTCCATTAAAAAGTCATGAGTCTCACCTCAAAATCCTTCTCAGAAGTAGATTTTATCTGATTTTCCTTTGTCTCCTGGCTCCAGAACATGCATTTTCAAACCTTGCTTCTATAGCTGAAATGATGAGCCATTGCCTTTCCTTCAGCAGGAAGCCAGGAGGCTCCCGTTTGCACCAGACTGCCCGCGCTGCTTCAGCTTTGCAAATATCATCAGGAGCAAGGGTTTGCTCCGCCGTCGCCCCCCCCGCCTGCCCCAGAGCAAGGGCAGTCAGCATTTCCAGTGGCATTGGGTGCAAATGCCACCTCAGCCAGCAGCTCTCGCCCTCTCCATCGCTCACCATCGCCTCTCCATCGCTCACCCTCTGCCTTTATAAGAATTTTCCTACGCTGCTTTCTCCTCCTTTCCATCAGATGATAACTAAGATAATTTCAGCCCTTTCCTCTCCTCCCCATGCCGCAGGGAATAGAATGGATTGGGTTGGAAGGGACCTTAAAGATCTTCTAGTTCCAACCCCCCCTGCCACGGGCGGGGACAACTTCTACTAGATCAGGTTGCTCCAAGCCCCGTCCAACCCGGCCTTGAGCACTTATGGAAGTGGTCAGTGGATTGGGAGACCTCGCTAGCTTTCCTGTCCCACGTCCAGGGTGACCCTTCCGAAATCTCACGGGGAAAATGCTCTTCCTCTCCAGGAACACTGGCCGCTGTGTTGGATGTTGCCATTCAACTGGTGCCCACCAGCGCTGTGAGCAGTGGCCAAGGAACTGGTCCTCTTCCAAGCTTCCCTTGGACAGAAAACAAAAAGCCACCCTAAACAACTCCCAAATGGTGTAAAAATATTATTTAGAAAGAAGAAAAACTTCCCCAAACCCCAATTCTGGGCCTGTAGAGGTGGGGTATCACAACCCAGTGACGTGGGTTCTC